TCCTAAGCATAGATGAGATTTGTAATGTAAAAAAAAAATTATAAGTGATATTCTAGACTCATTTGTGCTTTCCTTGTGCCTGATATAGAATCAACCACTTGTCCAGGAATCTTGCTTCTTGTAATGAGGACTAATGAGGATGATGGGTGTTTTATTGCTATTGAAGTAATAATTTTTCTAGACCTTATGAGTTCATATTAGAACCTTCTACATATTTTGCTTTTGTTAATGAACCTCATTGAAGTACAATTTACCTAAGAGTAAAAATTCAGTTTACTGAATATTATCAAATTTATAATCTTCCATAGTAATCCCCTAGTTCTTCTTCCAAGCTTCTGATCTGCTTTCAATTATGAGAGATGATTAAGTATGCCTGTTTAAGATTTTCATATAAGTAGGATTACATAGTATGCAGCATTTTGTCTGGCTTCTTCCAGTCAATATTATTTTTTGCGACTCAGCCATGCTATTTGGGGTATCAATTGTTTATTTTCTTTCTGAGTAGTAATCCATTGCAGGTATATATCACAGTTTATCTTTTTGCAAATTTACATACATTTGGATTATTTTCCAACTTTTGTCTATTATGAATAAAGCGTTTTGTGAAGATTTAGGTACAAGTTTTCTAAAGCATGTGCTTTTCATTTCATTTTTCTCAGGTCTGGGATTACTAGGTCATAATACAAGAATTCTTAAACCATATTGCTTTCTTTTACAAGCAGCTGGAGCTTTTTAAATGCCCATCATTTAGAAATCTAGTTATTCCACATCGACATCAACTCTAGGTCTTGTCAGTATTTCCATTTTATTCTCATAAGCTAAAACTGGTTTTAGTTTCTGTTTCCATGGCAGACGATATAGAGCCTTTTCTTGTTGTTTTGGGAATGCCAGAATTTCAAGTCAAAGCCTCCAGCTCTCTAGACCCAGGTCCTTTACTATTTGAGTCATGCCCCCAGCTCTGCTTTTGGCTAGTTATTTTAGAGGAGTCCTGCAGATTTTTCTTCCTGGGCTGCTTTCTATCTCATTTTCATATTTTAGCCTCTTGAGTTGCTAGGATTATAGGCCTGAGCCACCAGTGTTTTCTCCTACATTCTTTATATAACCTACTCCTTGAGGTTGCCTAAACCACTTCAAATTTCAAAAGATCAAGAACTTCATTTCCCTTTGGAAACAAGATTTGAAGTAACAGCATGTCTTTATGGAAGCACCGGGTTCACTCCAAGGACATGCTAATTATTTCCTGCATATAACTTTCTAAAGTATTTGGTCCCTAAAGCAGGCTATTAGCCATCCCTCCAGGAGGGGCCCAAGGGATGCAGCCTAAAGCTGATTGTATGGGCCACCAGACCTAGGTGCAAAATACCCACCTCTCTCATTTTGCAGAGATAATGGTACAAAGATCTCTGGGGTAGTTTAAATGGCATTTAGCCTGTGAGATGTGGAGATAGACCACAAGTGTCTCCTGTGTTCATTGTAGCTATTAGACATGTGGGTATTTATGTGGGCAAGACTTTGACTGGCTAACATTACTATTCAAGCCTTGTCCATTTAACTGGAGGTCATGATTGAACAATAAAGGAGGACAGCGTAGGAAGCTGGCCAACATTAATAAATAGGAAGAGAATCCCCTCTGGGGACTAGGCCAGCTTTCTAATGTTGTTAACTCTTATAAGTGAGTAAATCACTTCTAGTTCTTTTTTTAAAATAGTTCTACAGAAATGTTTCAGTTCATAAGTCAGAATATGAGTACATGCATCTTGATCAAATGTCAGCCCTTCCATCATTCTCCCCCATCATCCACAATTCCATCTATACTCACTAATACTTATTTAATATGTATATAATACTTCTTTAATATGTATATTGAATATAAAAATATTCACCCACCCTTCCTGTCTCTATCTGCTCCTCCCTTGCATCACCTTCCCCAAGCTTTTTGTTAAACTGTTAGTTACTTGTTCAGAGGAATTGTATTATTAGAATCCTCTGGAGTATGCCATCGTTAGTCTGCACATACCTGTATATAACACTGTGTACATTTTCATATATGTTTATAATTTAGATCTGACTTGTTTATAATTTAGATATAATTTAGATCTAACTTGTACATATGAGAGAAAACATGTACTTTTGTCTCTCTGAGTCTGACTTCATATAATTTTTTCCTAGGTCCATCTATTTCCCTGCAAATGACATATTATTCTTTTTGATAGATTAGTGAAATTCCATTTTAGATAGACAGAAAGATAAAGAGATGTCACACTTTCTTGTTTGTTGTTATTGTTGGTTGTTGTGGGGCTTGAACTCAAGGCCTAAGCACTGCCCCTAAGCTCTTTCCCGCAAGTCTAGTGCTCTACCACTTTGAGTGACAGCTCCACTTCTGGTTTTCTGGTCATTAATTTGAGATAAGAATCTCACAGACAATGAGATGTACAGACATTATGTTGAAAATGAACTTTACAGCTTGTGGGGGGAGGAAGTTGGGGAGGTGGGAAGGGAAGGGATGATAGGGGAAAAACAAAGGAGGGGATAACAATGCTCAATAGGAAGTGTACTCATTACCTTACTAATGTAACTGTAACCCTTTGTAAGTATCTTTACAATAAAACGTACATATTAAAAAAGAAGAATCGTCTTTTTCTCAAACACAGAAGACAAAGGAAGAAACTGGTTTTTTGTATATTTGGAAGAATGAAGCATTTATTTTCCTGCAGTTTCCTTTGAGAGAGGTGTGCATGAGATGTCCTTTAAAATCAGCTTTAGAAAATATGATGCATATTTTTATTGACAAATAAAATTGTATACATTTGCTGTGAAAAGAAAAAGAATCTCACAGACTTTCCTGCCCAGACTGGCTTTGAACTGTGATCCTCAGTTCTCAGCTGAATGAGTATTTAGGATTACAGGCATGAGCTACCAGTGCCCAGCTCACATTTTCTTAATTTATTCATCTGTTGTATGGCATCTGGACTGTTTCCATACTTTTGCTATGGTGAAAAATTAACATGGGTGTATAAGTATCTTTACCATAGCCTGAAATGTAATATTATGGTTAAATACCCAATAGTAGTATCTCTGGATCATCATAGAGCATTTCTATGCTTAGTTTGTTGAGAATCTCCCAACTGACTTTCATACTGGTTGCACTAGTTTACATCCCCACCAACAGTGTCACAGAGTTCTTTTTCCCCAGTCCCTGCATCTGTTGTCTGTATTCTTGATCTGTTGCCTGTATTCTTGATCTGTTGTCTATACCTCAGGCACCTCACTTTGTGACTGGTATTTTACTAATTTTTGTATTATGAAAGAAACAAGGTTTTGGGGTACAGGTAGCTCACAACTACTTTGGAAACTGAGATCTGAGGATTTTGGTTGGTTCAAAACCAATCTAGGCAGACAAATTCTATGAGACATTTACCTCCAATTAACCAGCAAGAAGTCAGAAGTGGGGTGTGGTTCAAGTGTTAGAGTGTTAGCCTTGAACAAAAAAGGCTCAATGAGATCCAAAGGCCCTGAGTTCAAGCCCCAGAACTGGCACAAGAGAGAGGGAGGGAGAGAAAAAGAGAGAGGAAGAGGCAGGAAGAGGGAGGGAGAGAGGGAGGGGCAAGGAAGAAGGGAGGGAGAGAGAAGTTTTCAGACATTTAGAATATTTTAGGGCTCATATATAGAGTATTTAGGGTTCTTATACTTTTAATAATCAGCAAAACAAGTACCTGCTAAGGAATCCTGAAAGAACATGGATTGAGTGGAAAGGACACAGAACAAAGGATAGATCCCAAGGGGAAGTGCAAAAGTTCTGTAAATAGTTGTGCTATTTTCCTTGGAAATATCTGATACTCCACGTAGGATAGTGGTTGTACATGGAGGAGTAGTATGTCTAACTCTGAGATGAAGCCTTCTACATTGAATCTCAGGGTGCTGCACAGAGGTGCAGCATCTCTTCAGTGTTTTAACTGTTTAAATGAAAAACATTGTAAAACTTAGCATTCCTAGGAATGCTCCATTCAAATAGTAATTGCCTTGTTTTTATCATGTTGCCCTCTGGAAAAATGAAGCATTTAGCTCTGAACTGCTCTCAGAAATGTGAAATGTAGCTGGGTACTCATGGCTTATATGTGTAATCCTACCCACTCAGGAAGCTGAGATCACTGTTCAAGGCCACAGGGCAGAAAAGTCTGTGAGACTGCATCTCCGAAATAACAGCAAAAACCTAAGCTGGTAGTGTGGCTTAAGTGGTAGGGCACCAACAATGAGCAAGAAAGACAAGTGAATGTGAAGCCTTGAGTTCAAGCCTAAGTACCAGCAAAAAAAAAAAAAAAAAAAAAAAAAACACAAAAAACAAACAAAACAAAAGAATGTGCAGCTGAGTCTTTTGTGGAGTTTTGCTTCTTTAATTTGCCTCTTACCTAGAACCAACACTAAGCTCAGCTGAAATGAAAAGCCTGCTGCCACCATCCTTAATTGTCATGGCCATATTTAATTGTTCCCTTCCTAACAAACCCAGAATTATGAGTTATTCTTTTTAATTTTATGCTGTTTTTCTTCTTTAGAACCAGTTTATCTTCATTATTTTCAGGTCTGTCTTCCTCTGTATGCTTCCATCTTTTGTTCCCCTTACACACAGCTGGATTGGGTTTCGTGATGCCAAAACACTTGACTAGAGTTCTGGGCACTGCTGTGTGGGGAGCACAGTCTGGGCACTCAGGAGGACATAGAAATCCAAGGTGCTCTGCTCACCAGATCTTTGCAATCTTTGGAAATTTGGTGCCATAACTCTTTAACCACTGGATAAATGAGCTCCAAACCCAAAGCCAGTGGTCCAAACAAGAGGACAATCCTCAGTGAACTGGGGTAACAGTGTAGCAGCAGAAAACTTGGGAAACCTTCAGTTTGAAACCATGGTATACCCCTCCCAATCCCCAATCCTCTGAGTGGTCTAAGCTATTTTCCTCTTTATTTTTCATTAAGAAAATGTAAAACATGTCTTTGTCTCCTTGTAGATGCGAACCACACAAAAGGTGTCAGTGTGGCCAGTGGGCCTGGTTGGTGGGCGACGCTACGAACGGCCCTTGGTGGAAAATGGCAAGGTGGTTGGCTGGTACACTGGCTGGAGAGCGGACAGGCCTTTTGCTATCGACATGGCAGGTGAGGAGTGGGTTGCTCTTAGATGTGCCCATGTACAGTAGTGCACCAAAACAAGAGGGTTTATAAGATGAGTTTGGCTGAGCTCCAGTGGCTCCTACAAATCCTAGCTACTCAGGAGACTGAGATTTGTGGATTGTGGTTCAAAGCCAGCTCTGGCAAGAAAGTCCATGAGACTCTTAGCTCCAATTAACCACCAAAAAGCTGGAAGTGGAGCTGTGGCTCAAGTGGTAGATGCCAGCCTTAAACAAAAAAAAATCTAAGGACAGTACCCAGGCCCTGGGTTCAAGCTGTAGCACACACGCACGCACGCAAGCACGCACATGTGCACGCGCGCTGCTAGCTTATACCTGTAACTCTTAACTATGCAGGAAGCTGAGATCTGAAAGTTGCAGTTTGTAACTAGCCTGGGCAGACAAATTCTGAGTTATCTCCATTTAACTAACAAGAATCTGGACATGGAGGGCTGGGAAGGTGGCTCAGTGGTAGAGCGCTTGCCTTGCATGCTCGAGGCCCTGGGTTCGATTCCTCAGCACCACAGAAGAAAAAAGCCGGAAGTGGCGCTGTGGATCAAGTGGTAGTGCGCTAGCCTTGAGCTGAAGAGCTGAGGGACGGCGCCCAGGCCCCGAGTTCAGGCCCCACGACTGGAAAAAAAAAAAAAAGAATCTGGACATGGAGGTATAGCTCACATAGTAGAGAATCAGCCATGGGGAAAGAAGGAAGACAGGAGAATTTGGGGTGAGAGTTCAAGCTCTGGTACCAGCAGAAAGAAAGAGAAAAAGCGAGGAAGAAAGAGAAAAAGGGAGGGAAAAAAGGAAAAGAAAGAGAAGGAAAAAAAGAAAAGAAGGAAGGGAAGGAGGGAGGAAGGGAAGAAAAGAAAGGAAGACAAGAAAGAAAGGAGGGAAGGAAAAGGAAGAGAAAAAGAAGGAAAGAGAAAGGAAAAAAGGAAGAAAAGAACAGAAGAAAAAGAAGGGTGAGAGGAAGGAAGGCAGGCAGGAAGGAAGGAAGAGGGGGAGGGAGGGAGGGAGAAACTGGAGGAAGAGAGGGAGAGAAGAAAGAAGGAAGAAAAGAAAGAAGGAAAGGAAGGAAGGAAAGGAAAGGAAGATGGGAGGGAGAGAGAAAGAAAGAGGAGGAAGGAAAGAAGAAAATGTTGACCTTTCTCTAGCCTTTTTTTTCTTTTTGCTCAGTTGTAGGGCTTGAACTCAGGGCCTGGGCACTGCCCCTGAGATTTTTTTTGCTCCAAACTACTGCTCTGTCGCTTGGAGCCACAGCACCGCTTCCTCTATATTCTTTTATCTAAGGTAATGAATGGAGCAAGAAGCTTGGAGGCTTGGGCTGGGAAGATGGCTCAGTGGTAGAGTGCTTGCCTTGCATGCCTGAGGCCCTGGGTTCGATTCCTCAGCACCACATAAGCAAAGTGAAAAAAGCTGGAAGTGGCGCTGTGGTTCAAGTGGTAGAGTGCTAGCCTTGAGCTGAAGAGCTGAGGGACAGTGCCCAGGCCCAGAGTTCAGGCCCCACAACCGGACCCCAAAAAAAAAGAAGCTTGGAGGCTTCAATGGTAGGAACTGAGCCTGGCCCTTGTCTCCCTTTTGGTGCCTCTCTGTGGAAGATTCATTGATGTTTAAATACATCATGTTTATTGATAACTTGAGTAATTATTTAAAATCATTTTAATGCTTATTGATAAACTTGGTGCTTTACATAGCTAAAATAAAAAACTGGTTTTCCAAGCAGTTACTAACTTTGGTATAACTATGTTTCAAATTTTTATTCCTTGACCACATACTTTACAGTAGACCACATACTTTAAAATGCTGCTTTACCATGAAGTGACTCATGTTCTGTGGGTGACATGAAATGATGCCCATGATCTCTGTGGAAGAATGCAGTTTGAAATATGAGACTTAGAGGAGGGAAAAATCACTGACATGTATCACCTAGAAGATGTAGGCAGAAAGGCTTCAAAATTGAGCGCATCAATCACCAGTGCTGTCTGTCAGCCTGTGCTTGTCCAATCTTTTGCTTATATTTCCCAACTGCAGTCAAAAAAATTCTATGCTCAGAATTTGGAGGCTCTGCTGTGTACTAGGTTTGACACTTTCTTTCTGATGGCACTGTATTTTGAGGAAGCAAAACATTGTGATGAGTACTAGGGGAATGTTAAGAGCACAGCTCTTTCAGAAGGCATACTATTTTTGCTTAGCATTTCACAAATATTACAAAGGAGACTGTTTTGTGGCACTGTGTGAAGCAGTATGGATCTCTTGTGCTTTGCTGGTGGCACTCTGCTAAGTCCCATCCCTATGTCCTGACTCTTCTTCTTTCTCTCAACTCAAGCCAAAACCCTTGGTTTTCTGTTCTTGCAGCCCCAGAGCTAAACTAGCACCTCAACCAATGTATTTACCTGGAAGTAGACAGAGAGACAGGTGAGCCATACTGGATGGCCCTCAAGACTTCCCAAAGATCCATTGTCAGTTCACTGGAAGTAAACAGCTCTAAAAATGAGGCTGACCGTAATTCTACTTTTGAAAGATGAATATATCCTTAATATATCCTTGAAGACAAAATTGAGAGCTCAAGCAAAGTCTTTCCCTTGTGTGGAACTCAGTATCTTCCTACATAAACAAAGCCCAGAGTTCTTCTACAATCCTTTTTTCTCTCACTTTGGAAAACTCAAAAATCCAGATACTTGGACTAGAGAACTCCAACTTTGACCTTTGTTTCCAACTTTGACCTTTGGTTCCAACTTTTCTCAGAACTTGGTTGCAACACCAAGTCCTCACACAGGTCTCCTCACACAGGGCTGCTGCCAGTAGATATGCTTCAGAATGCTAGACACCAACCTAAGGACAATGAGGACACCAACTTGAATGGAACTCAGCAAGGCAAAGTTTACTTCTGCAGAAGGGTGAGCTAAAATCTGGCAGGCAAGCACACAGAGCAGGCAGGTTGCTCCCCTTTTATCGCTAATGCAGCACACCTGTTCTGCTCAGATTGGACAAGCTCAGGGTCACAACCTGCAACATAACATGGCTCAATCAACAGGAACAAGGTGTGTTCATTTGGGCATAGCAGGAATAGGATGTAACTAAAATTTAATCAACAAGGGCCCAGCCATCTGGCTAAAGGAGGTTTTTAGAAAAATAATTATTACAAGATTGATAGAAAGGAAGCAACCCATTCTGATAGAAAAGATGGCTTTTCTCACACTTCCCATTACTTGGAATGGGTAACATCAATGTAGGAGCGACTTGAATAACTTTCTGGATCTTAGTAAAATAACCATTAAGTAGGGGATCAAGTATCAAGTAAACTTGTTGAATATTTACATTGTATCATCCAAGATTTGTGTCCAAATAGGTGTCCAATAAAACAAAGTGTGTTTTATTAGGGATGGCCTATGGAAAGGCATTTAGTGGTTTTCATTGCTAAATCCTATGAGAAATTTTAACTAATGTGACAATGTAGCTTTTTTTTCTAGGCATTTTAATATATTTTCAAATCATAATAAAAGCATCTAGGCAAGCACTGGTAGATTGGTAGTTTACTCTTTTATTCATGGCTTTTCTTTCACTTCCACATAAACTTACTGTTTACCTTAAACACTTTTCTGCCTTTAAATTATTTAATGGGTAGGGAAAATGAATCCGTTCTCCTAGACAGTATCACACTTTGCTCCTTCATACCTGTGACTTCAGGGCATCTTGCCACTTGGTACTTCTCTTCTCTGAGATTTGGAAAGCCCCAGACCTTTGGGAGCAATAGGTAGAACCATGGGCGTGCGTGAGAGTGTGGAGTGTGACTGATATAGGAGAGCCAAGGATGGCACTTTCAGGACCGTGGCAGCAATTAGAAGGAAAGAAAGATGTGAGGAGTTTCAAGAGAGAAAAGTAACTCCCCCCACCCAGCCCCTTAATGATGGAGGAGAAACTGATGTTTTTAAGAGAAAAACAGAAAAGTCTCAAAGGTGAGGAAATGAGAGGGTGAGGTCAGGCCCTTAGATGGGCAAATTCTCCTTAGCAAAATCACCTCTGACTCCCAGGTTAAAGGTAAGATTCCTAAGGAAGTAGAGACTAGGGGTAGGGGAAAACTGATTGTTAAGATGAGAAGTTTGGGAGGCTGGGGGAGGATGGGAAGGGATGGGAAGGGGAAACAAAGGAGGAGGCTACAATGCTTGATAAGAAATGTACTCATTATCTTGCCCATGTAACTGTAACTCCTCTGTACAGTATTTTCACAATTAAAAAAAATGAAAAAAAAGAAATTATAGTATCATGAGTTATAAATGCTTAAAACACAGGCAAAAACAGAAATAAAAGGAACAGACACATATGGTAGCAATAATTATTTCTTTGTATGTCATGCATGATTTAGCATATTTTATATTATATATTTAGTTTATATTTCATATTTATTAATGTTTTGTATTTTACTGATCCTTTTAGCATATATTATATTTTCCAGTGTAATATATAGACATTTTATAGAAAAATAAAATAACTTAAAACATAGAAAAATATTCTTTTAAATAAAGCTATGTCATGTGACTTTGTTACAAGCTATATTAGTAACTGATCTTGAAACTAAGATAGAAAAGAGGTAATATTAATCTGATTAAATTTGTTTTTACAGTTCCTTAAAAAAAAAAGTTGAGAAGTTTGACTCTGTTTTATTGTATATTCCAAGTCATAGCTGGTGTGCTTAGAATATATATGCTTGAAAATATCTGTGGGTAGGTTCAAGCTTGGAGTTCTGATAACTATCTGGGTAGGGGAATGAAGCCAGAGTATTAAAGCCATCAAAATTTTAGAGCTATTAAAGCTATTAAAAATTATTAAAGAAACAAGGCATTTCAGATTATGCTTATCATTCAGCAGAGATTTAGATCTTGCTAATACCATATATATTATATAAGACCATATATGATACAGTGAAATTATCACGGATATGATTAAATTGATGTGTTAAACTTACATTTGGTTTCATTTTAATTGTTATAATTT